TGAGGGTGGGAGTTGGAGATGGCAAACAACAGATATTTTATTAATATACTAGAGGCCCAGTGCACAAAATTCATGCACAGGTAGGTTACCTAGGCCTGGCCAGTAATCAGGGCCTATCAGATTCCCCACCTCCCCGCCTCCTCCTTCCCTCTCTCCCTCAGCACCCCGCCACCACCACTGGCTGCCTGCCATGTTCCACAGTGCCCACTGGTGGTCAGTGCACATCATAGCGAGCGATCGAACTCCTGGTCAAACTCCCAAGGGGACACTTTACATATTAGCCTTTTTACATATATAGATTTTGTTTCATGATGTCAGGTAGTAGAGTGAAAAATAGGGAAGGAAAAAGATTAGGAGTTGATCAATAAGGGCTGCAGTTTTAAACAGGAAGGCCTCTCTGACAAGATATTTGAACAAAAGAGTTGAGGAAGGAAGCCAAGGGGACAGAGCATTCTAGGCAGCTAGAACAGCTTGTGCAAAGGCTCAGATTGATGGGGCTGGAACAGAGGAGAGAACGGGGAGAGAAAACAACAGCGAGGAGAGGGTAGGGAAGTGACAGCCAATATCTAACCAGCATCTCAGATGGAGAATGAGACTCAGAGGCAGACATTTCCGAGCCTGTCCTGCCTGCTCTCTCCTGTCACTCAAGCTCCCTGGACCCTGCCATCTCCATAGTATAGCCTGACTCCTTTGCTCCAACTGTGGTCCCATGGCACCTGCCAGGATCACTGCCATGGCTGAGCCAGGGCCATAGGGAGCTGCTCTTCGGTGCACCCGCCCCCATTTTGGAGGGTGATGGGGGTGGTGGAGGGAACAGTCCCAACCAAGGCATGTCTTGGCTCCGATGAAGGTTCCAGGGCCCAAGTGTCCAAAGCCTCTGAAGACAGAGGGGTCTGGGGACATCTGGGTCAGTGATGGGTGTGTGGGGGGTCACCAGGCCCGGATGACTGGCCTTTACATAGGGTGGGGGGGGGGGGGTAAGGGGGGAGGAAGAGGTCGGGGGAGGGGCAAGTCCTTTTTCTCAACCGGAAACCGGGAAAGGGAGTGACAGTGGCTGGTGGCAGGGCCGTCACAGGGCCAGCCTGGGTTTTTGCTGCTTGTCCTGAGGCCTAGTCAGACCCCTGCCTGCCATCCCTGAGTCCCTTAGGGCTCCTACCACCTTTTGAGAGCATCCTACCTTAACACCAGCTCTGAGGCCTGTACAATCTGCCTGGCCCGCAGCCCAGCCACCAGTGCCGCCCCCCCCCCTCCCCACACACACACACACACACCCCGCGCTCCCCATCATTACCCTCCCTCTGGCTACTTTCCTCCACTCCCTCCAGCCCCTCCAGGGAGTCTCCCAGGTCAGCTGAGCCCCACAGTGCAGGCGGAAGGGGGTGGTCTTCCCTCCTTCCAGTCCCCTCAGGCTTCAAGGTCCCAGGACTTCAGAGCAAAATGACAGGTGCACACCAGGGGCAGAGCACCAGAGCAATACCCTCTCCCTGCAAACCGCAAGGCCGTCCCGGAGCAAGGACACTCCAGGGTCTGCTGCTGCACCTGAGAGGCGGTCTCCGCATCTGCTCCGCTCTCCGCCACGCTCACTCAGCTCCAGACACACCACCCCCTCTCTCTGCCTCTAACAGGCCGGCCTGGTCCTGCCTCAGGACCTTTGAACATGCTGGGCCTGCTGCCTGACTCTTCCTTCACATGCCACCCACCCCCAATCTGACTGGCTCCTTCTCATCCTTCAGGTCTCGATCCCCTTCCAGCTTCCCTCCTCCCAGAACAGCAGTTCAGGGGAGAGTGGGGAGGGGGGGATTTTGTTTTGTTCACTACTAGTCCCCACTGTCCCCCAGTGCAGGGACTGCCTAAGTATGGGCTGAATGAAGGCGGAAAGGAGATAAAGCCAGGCATGGCTGGCAGGAGACCTCTACTCAGATACACACAACAGGACCTGGGCCAAATAAGTTTTGAAAGCCCAGAAGATGGGGAGAAAGCCAAACCCCTGCTGGTGCAGGGCGGGAGCTGGTCTGAGGTGCAGCTTCAGGTGCAGCCTCAAGGCTGGCAATGAAAAGGGTGGCAGTTCTTAAAGACTTGGGGTGGGGGGTGGGGGTGGAAAAGGGCAAACATAGGGGAGGAAGACCCTGCCAAGGGGAGGCATGAGAAGTGGGGGATTGAGAAACATGGCTGAGGCTGACCTCTCCCTCCTTTAAAAAAATTCTTTTTTAGTGATTTCAGAGAGAGGAAGGGAGAGAGGGAGGGAGAGAAGGGGGGAGGAGAAAGAGAGAGAGAGATAGCAATGATGAGAGAGAACCACCAATTGGCTGCCTCCCACACGCCCCCATTGGATCCAGCCAGAAATTCCGGCAAGTGCCCTAAAAGGGAATCCAACTGTGACTTCCTAGTCAATGCTCAACCACTGAGCCACACCGGCCAGGCTCATCCTCCTTTTTGAAGCCCTTGCTCCTTTGGCTTTTAAAAATATATATTTTTATTGATTTCAGAGAAGAAGAGAGGGGGGGGGAGAGAGAGAAACATCAATGATGAGAATTATTGATTGGCTGCCTCCTGCATGCCCCTACTGAGAATCGAGTCTGCAACCCGGCCATGTACCCTTGGCTGGAATCCAACCTGGGACCCTTCAGTCCGCAGGCCGAGGCTCTATCCACTGAGCCAGACCAGCTAGGGCTCCTTCGGCTTTTGACTTGTCACCCACTCCTAGTTTCCTTCCGCCCTCTCTCCAAACCACAACCCCCCCCCCCCGTGGGTATGTGTTCCAGGCGCCAGGCTTGCTTCTCCAAAGCCTGCCCTGCGCCCAGCCGCACCTCACCGGCACCTGGGCCTCCAGCAGCACCACAGAAACATGGCTACTTGTACCCGAGCCTGCTTCCATTGCAGCAGCTTCTGCACCCCGTCCAACTGCACAGCTGTCCTGGACCCACCCACTTCTCACACATCCACTCTCCCACCTGGTCCAGCTCCCTCCTGCACCCACTTCTCACACATCCACTCTCCCACCTGGTCCAGCTCCCTCCTGCACCCACTCCTCACACATCCACTCTCCCACCTGGTCCAGCTCCCTCCTGCACCCACTTCTCACACATCCACTCTCCCACCTGGTCCAGCTCCCTCCTGATCTGGACCAGAGCAGGGCGCCTGCCTCCACGCTGGCTCCCGCAGGCAGCAGCTCCATGGACCCTGCAGCCCCTCCCTCCGCACCTCAGCTCACTGCTCTCTGCCCATTAACTCTTAGTCATCTTACTCATCATTACTCACCAGTCCAACAGCCGCCGCCTCCAAGCAGCCTTTCCTGACCCTTTCCCGCCGAACCAGGTGCCTCCTCTGGTCCCCTACCCCAGGCGTTCTATCTTACCACATGCTCATTGCCCAAGAGCTGGACAATGTGCTCACCACCGAAGCGATGATTGTTATTATTCCCATTTTGCAAGGAAGAAACTGAAGCACAAAGGAAGTGAGGTCACTCTCCTGAGGGCACTGACCTCAAACTGGCAGGACCTGGTCTGTGGCAACTTCCAGACAGCCACAGCAGGAAAGGGGACAGTCTGCAGCGCCCGGATAAGAGGGCCTCCCCTCCCCACCCCCACGCCTGCTTTTCTGTGGGTGTCCCCGGGGTAGTGGGGGTGGGAGGAGGGAACCAAGGCCTGCTCTCCCCTCTCCCCCCCGCAACTACAGTCATCCTAGCGGCTCCTGTGCCAGCGTTCACTCCATGCCAGGCACCAGGCCAACTAAACACTTTGCGCGCCTGGCTCAATCTGCAAATGGCCTGGGTGCAGTTACCCACTCCCATTTCTCAGAATAAGAAATGGGGGCTCATGGGGCTATGAGCGCTGGAGTCTGCCCCTCCCCCCCTCTCCACCCCAGTCATGAGGCTGCCACCCACTGGGATGGCCAAGCCCTTTCCTAGCCAAGGCTTCTTTGGACTCCCAACACTCCATCAAAATGGGTCAGATAGGAACTGCTGACCCATTTTGCAGATGGACAAACTGAAGCTCAGAAAACTTTCCCTGGGGCCATAAGGCCAGTTCAAGGACCAAGGCTCCCAGCTCATTTCCACCGCCTCTTCCCTCTCCTCTCAAGACTCCTTTGCCGGGAGCTGGGAGGGCAGGCAAGGAAGGTCTGAGAGCCTCCCCCCACACGTCTGGGAGCCGGCGGGACCCAGGTGTGCTGCCGGAGGCTCCACTCTAAGTCTAGAGTCTAGGCTTATTCGCAGCAGCTGCTCTTGGGAGGGGACTGAGTTGCGGTGAGGATGCCAGGAGTTTCAAAGACAGCCCCAAGCCCCGAATTTCTAACTCAGCCGGCCCCGAGCTACAGATCCAGGCGCCCCCCCCCCGCCCCCCCCACGGGGCCAGCTGGGGTTCAGCTGCTTGGGGCCTTGCCTGGGCTCCCTCACTCCCCCATCAGGTGGCATTCTCATGGGGTTTGCAAATCAGACTTGGCAAAACAGCGTTTCCCCCACTCCCGCTTCCTCCCCCCACTCCACCCCCATACGTTATCCCCTCAGGTTCCCTATGCAGCCATGACAGGCCCCTCCACACTCCCAGCTGCCCAACAACCATCTCCTCTGGGCACCTTCCTTCATGCCCCACTTCCGAGCAGGGAGGAGATAATGATGTTCTGACAAATTAACCCCCACCTCACCTAGTTTCCACCACCCCTGCCAGGCCGGCCCCGGGCAGCAGCCTCCTCCCATCTGCTCTGCGCACAGCAGCTGCTGGATCTCCTTTAGGCTACCTCACCCGCTTTGCCCTAAGCCCCTGTGGCCGCCGCGGGCTTGGGAATGGGAACCTCACACTCCTCGCCGTCCATCTTCGGGCCGGGCCAGCCTCTCCCACCTCCAAGCCCCGCGCTCCGGCCACGCCGGCCTCTGCTGACGCGCCCGGCTGGGCCCCACCTCGGAGAATCTGCTGTCTCCGGGGCCTGCACAGCCCTCGCCGGCTGGTCCCTCCGGCCCGGACGGACGGCGCCTCCTCCGAGCAGCCTTCCCCGCCTTCACTCACCCCGTCGCCCAGATGCACCGTCCTCCCCGCGCTCGGCGGGGGCTAGAACGACCGGTTCCTGTTTACGCGGCTCCTAGCGGTCTACGCGGCCCCGGCTGCACCCCCCGCCCCGGCACGTCTATGGCACCTCTTGGTCGCCCGGGATGGGTCACAGGTGCGGGACCGGCCCTCGCGCCCCGGGCTCCCTCGGTCCCGGTGCCAGGCCGGCCCCAGCCCCTCCGCCCGCCTCGCAGCCGCATCCCCGGGGGCGCGCGGCGCCGGGGCCCTCCGGGGAGCGGGGCTCCCGGGGAGGCAGCCCGGGCCGGGCCCGGGACCAGATGGGAAGCCCCGAGACGCCGACCGGGCAGGGCGCTGGGGGGTAGGAGGGGTTGGGGGGGCGAGCTCGGTCACGTGGGGCCGGGCCGGGGCGCCATGGCGGTGGAGGAGGGGTTGGGCCGCCGCGGGGGTGGCGATCGGACGGGCCCCGGGCGGGGGGCCCGCTTACCTGGGGGCGGGCGGCCGGGCGCGCCGGGCGGGGGTCCGCGGGCCGCGGGGAGCGCGGGAGCGCAGGCAGCCGGACTCGGCGGCGCGGGGCCGGGGCCGCGGGAAAAGGCTGGCGGCGCGGGGCGGGGCCCGGGAGGGCGGGGCGGGGGCGGGGGCGCGGGACGCTGGATCCCGGGCGCTCCGCTCCCTCCTGCCGCCGGCCGCTTCCCTCCGCCCGCGGGCACCGCGGACCCTCCCGCCGGCCCCGCCCCGAGGCCTCCTGGCCGCGCTCCAGCCTCAGATTTCTGCCGGAACCTCCCTGCTCGCCGCGGAGTACGGCCCTGTGGCTGCGCGATCGGTCTGCCCCCCGCCCCTGCTTCTCCTCCGTCAGCTGCTCGCACCCTGCCCCCCGCCGGAGTCCCCTCTTCTGGCCCGGCTCTGACCCGGCTCCGGCCCGGCTCCGGCCCGTGCATCTGCCAGCTCTCCGGAGGCGCCCGATCCCCTGCAGCGCACGCAGGGCGTCGCGGGGAAGGCCCGGCCGCCGCCCAGGCCTTGGGGGCGCCTCCCGCACCTGGAGTCTGGGTCCCTGTGGGTCCGGCGCGTGGTGCGGGGGCCCCGGCGCGCCCAGAGGCCGTTCCGGAGGCCGGGAGGCGGGGAGGGCCGCCGGGCAAAGTCTGCGGGCTGAGTCGCAGCAGGAGATTTAACACCCCACTGGCATCGGGGGAGAGATCTTCCAGACACACTCAAGCCAGGAACCGGCAGCCTGAAATGACACGCCAGACCAGATGGACCTCCTTGATGCCTGTAGAGCATTCCACCCCATAGCGGGAGAATACCCATTCTTTTCAGGTGCACACGGAACATTTGATAGGATAGACCACCTGTTAGGACACATAACAAGTGTCAATAAATTTAAGTTTGAGGGGGGAAAAAAAAAAGATCTGCGGTTGGGTGGGGTGTAAGGGTCAGGAAGCCCAGCCGAGGGCAACAGAGGAAGGTGCTGGGCCCCCTCTGGCAGCGGGAACCCTGACCCCAATCAGCGCGCAGGGGCATGAAGCCTGCGTCCGCTGTGTGTGGAGGACACCCCGGTCTTCTCTGCACACCTGAGGCCCACCGGACACTCGGGTCCAGCTGTTGCTGGCTGGAGGAAAGGGGGTTCCAGAACCGCTGTCCAGCCCGTGTCATCTGGGCAAGTAGCTCCACCTTTGGACAAAAAGCCTCTCCCTGAAGCAGATCCCTGGGAGGCAGGGGAAGTCCTGATGTTTTGGGCTGTGGGGCCGCTAGGCAAGTTCCGTTGGTCACTGATATTTGATTTCCACACAGAAAGTGTGGGGGGAGGGGGTGTGCAGAGGCCTTTGGTTGCAAGTTTGGAAGAAGCTGCCCCTGCCCCTCCAATCCAGCTTCTAGCCTAGCATTGGCTGTCCCCCTCCCTGTCTCCCTCAGGCCTCAGTCCCCTCCAAAGATCCCCCACCTCTGCCCCACTCTCCGGTCAAGAACTGATTTGCATATCAGAAAAGGAACCGGTAACTTTTCTCAGCCGTGAGGATTAGGAACTGTCTGGTATCACCAGCCTTGCACCTGGGGCTGCTCAGAACAAAACAGTCATGTGTGTGACTCCCCCTGAATGGGGACAAGTGGCAGATTCTTTTTTCTTTTTTCTTTTTTTTAAAATATATTTTATTGATATTTTACAGAGAGGAAGAGAGAGGGATAGAGTCAGAAACCAGAAACATTGATGAGAGAGAATCATCGATCAGCTGCCTCTTGCACACCCCCTACTGGGGATGTGCCCACAACTAAGGTACATGCCCTTGACCGGAACCGAACCTGGGACCTTTGTCTGCAGGCTGACGCTCTATCCATTGAACCAAACCGGTTTGGGCAAGTGTCAGATTCTTGGTGAAGTGCAGCGAGAGGCCCCCCAAAGGGAATGGGGTGAGCCAGGGCCAAGGAAAGACCAGGTGGGAGTACTGTCCTTTTCCTGGTCCCCCATTCCCCTTCCACGGAGGGGAATGCTTCCTGGAGGAGGAGGTGACCTCAGTGGGTAGGGATTAAGCTGAGTCAGGGTCTGGAAGTGAAGGAGGAGAGGACAGTGGGGTGGGGCCAGTGCCTAAAGACCCTCAAAGGCCCTCTCTGGAGAGGCACAGTTTATTTAGTTTTTTAGTTATTTAGTTATTTACTAGCGGCCGGGTGCATGAAATTCGTGCATGGGGAGGGGGGGCAGAACGCTCCTCAGCCCAGTCTGCACCCTCTCCAATCTGGGACCCCTCTGGGGATGTCCAACTGCTGGTTTAGGCCCAGTCTCAGGGATCGGGCCTAAACCGGCAGTCAGACACCCCTCTCACAATCCAGGGCCACTGACTCCTAACTGCTCACCTGCCTGCCAGCCTGATCACCCCTAACTGCCTCTGCCTGCTGACCTGGTTGCCTCTTACTGCCCGTCCCCCTGCCAACCTGGCCATCCCTTACAGCCTGCTGTTTAGTTGTTACTGTGATGGCATCCTGGACAATTTGCATATTCCTCTATTATTAGTATAGATTTATTTGTTTAACATGTTTTTATTGATTTCAGAGAGGAAGGAACAGGGAGAGAGATGGAAACATCAATGATGAGAGAATCATTGATTGGCTGCCTCCTGCACGCCCCCTACTGGGGATCAAGCCTGCAACCCAGACATGTGCCCTTGACTGGAATCAAACCCAGGACCTTTTTTCAGTCCACTCTAGCCACTGAGCCAAATTAGCTAGGGCGTGGCACAATTTAAAATTAGACCCAGGCAGGTCAGATTTAAAGTGAGTGGGCAGTGAGAGCAGCTGGGGCCTGATATGGAGGCTGCAGACGGAATGAAAGGAGGGACTCCAGAGGGATTTAAAGATAAAATTGTCAGGGGAGGGGTAGGAATCAGGGAAGGCCAGAGCCTGGTTAGTGGGAATGGGAAATGGGGCTGTTTCTAAGCTGGCCTGGCCAGTGCAGTGTGGGGTGTTTTGGGAGGAGACCCTAAAGCCCAGAGCTCAGACCTGAGGGGTGAGAAGGAGCTCCTTGCCTCCCCCTCCTCCCCTCCGGACCTCACAGAAACAAGGATCCAGGTGACTCCCCGAAGATCTTTTTGTCCCTACTGCTTGTCAGTCCGCTTGTCCCAGCCACATTGGCCATTTTCAGACCCTGGGGCCATCATGGCCAGGCCTGGAAGCTGGACCCTGGACTCTGAACCCTGTGACAGGTGGAGAATAGCTATCTGGTGCTGTCCATGGGGCCTAACGCCTGGAACCTGAGACTATGTGACCTTATATGGCAAACGGGACTTTGCAGATCTGATTTTGAGGATCTGGAGTTGGGGAGATGATCTTGGGTTATCCAGATGGGCCCAGTGTTCTTATGACAGGGAGACAAGAGGGTTAGAGAGATTGGAAGATGCTAAGCAGCTGACTGTGAAGATGGAGGAAGGGACCATGAGGCAATGCATGCAGGCAACTTCTCGAAGCTGGAAGAGTTACAGAACGTTCCCCTCTCGAGCCTCCAAAAGGACCACAGCCCTGCAGACACCTTGATTTTATCTCAGTGAGACCCATGTTGAACTCTGGCCTCTAGAACTGTTAGATAATACATGTGTGATGATTGTTATTGCAGCCATAGGAGACCCATACAGAATCCGAGCCCCCTATTCACAGCCCTGCTTCCACTATCAGAACTCCCTCCCTTCCCAAGTTGACTCATTTTCCAAATAATCACTGCTCTGGCTGGCCCCCTTTCCGGGGCTGATGCTCTCCTGTTCTGGAGGGTTGGGGACTGAGGTCCTGAATGTCTGTCTGTCTGTCTGTTACTGCCGCTCTGGGCCCGGCAGTATCCATCCAGTCACGTAGCTCTCTCTCCAGCGCATCCTGCAGGGCAGGTGTCTGCCGTCCCAGAGTCTGACTGTCCTGTCTGGCCCAGACTTTGCCAATCAAGATGTCTGCCCTTGGAATCTAAAGAGTAAAATAAATGAGCAAACGAATCAGAAACAAACTTATAGATACAGAAAACAGTTTGATGGTTGCCAGATGGGTGGGAGGCTGGGGGCTGGGTGAAAAAGGTGAAGAGATTAAAAAGTACAAATTAGTAGTTAAAAATACTCATAGGAATATAATATATAGCATAGGAAATAGAGTCAATAATATTGTAATAACTATTGATGGTGCCAGGTGGGTACTAGACTTACTGGGGGTCACCTTGTAAGTTATATAAATGTCTAACCACTATTGTGTACACCTGAAATTAATAAAATATTGAATGTCAACTGTAATTGAAAAAAACTCCTGCCCTCAATAGGGGTGAATCTACTCCCTGAAGACAGATGCCCCAATTCAGATAGACCTGGGCCCCCATTTGTGCTGTGTGACCTCAGGGGTGTTATACAGCCTCTCTGAGCCCTGAGATGTCCCCATCTGTGGAATGGAAGGTAACCAGGCCCAACAGGGGGCTGGTACCTGGAGGGACCACTTTCTCCGTGTGCCTGTCCTACCCGCTCCCCTCCAAGTGGCCTGAGTGGGAACTAGGGGAGGGGATTGGGGGGAAGGATGGGGAATGGAAAGGCCTCGGCACTGGCTGTTCCCTCTGCTGGAATGCTCTTCCTGCACGTCCGCAAAGCCCCTCGCCACCTCCTTGGGCCTTCAGAGACAGGCCCCCAGCTCCTCCGTCCTGCCATCCCATGATGGCTCCCCAGCCCACCTGCCTCTTGTTCAGTATTTTTTAAATTTGTTTTCTTAACCCTAACTCTCACCTGAGGATATTTTTCTTGATTTATTTACAGAGGGTAGAAGGGAGGGAAGGAGGGAGAGAGAAAGGAGAGAGAAACATCTATATGAGAGAGA